GTATTGCTTGAGTGTTCTAGGTCATCGCTAAATGTAAATCATCTTTATTTTAGGATGGTTTTTAAGTGACTTTTGTATTGCTTTTGTGTGTGTTTTTTTCGATGATGTTTTATTGGCTGTGGTTGTTTTCTGTTCAGTGCTTTGAGAAAGCCACTTTTAAATGTGCTGTATAAAACAAAGTTATTATTATTACTATTATTGACCTGGCTACACTGAAAAAAAAAGGGTGTAGAATTTGAAAATTTTTCACTCAGAAATGGCTAAATTTCACAATAAGTAAGAAATAGAAAGTGAATTAAACCTTGAAATTTGAAGTAGAAAGACTAGTAAATTTACTAGCAATTTTTGAGTATTTTTTTTTTCAAAGTAAATCCTACACTGTTTTTTGGTGTGTGATGGCAATTTTAAAAACACCAAATTCAAGTTTGTACAAAAAGAGTGCATGAAACCAACATAATTATTTTACAAGCTGGACATTCCCTGAGATCAAAATACAACCATAATTAGGACATGACGAGATTGTTATGTAAATCCATGGGTGCTCACCTATAAGTGAATCAAACTCATTAACCATTATTTTGGAGAAATGGTTAATTCTTAATCGGTGTAAATTAATGATTACCTGTGTGCTTTGGACTGCAATGTTCCAGGTTTGATACGTTCTAATTTTCCACCGTCATAATTGTGACCCGCTATCTGGCAGGGCATTGTGTTGCCATAATAACCTGGCTTTAGAATGATGTTTTGGGTTCTGACGGGAGAAACGAGTGCCCGGGATCTTATTAGCGTGTAGCCCTGGTGAGCAAGTGCTTCCTAACAACAGTGAAACCCAAGCAGAATTACAAATCAAGCCCGAGCCCCGGACCCAGACTGAGCAGAATAGGAGAATAATAATATCTCCAGCAACAATGAAATTAATCATAGGAGGAAATGGATTTGCTCTGTAGGGGTGGCAGTGAATGAGGGCCCGCATTTGATACATAGTAAATGTCACTACTGGAAAGAAAGTAATAGACCTATGTCTTCACTGGATATTGAGGACGGTTAAGAGCTTTGGGCTTGTGTCCTACTCAGTGAGCTTTTAGTTAACAACGCATGTCCTCATATTTCTAATATTAGGATGTACTTTAAATATTTTGGGACTGTTCAAGAGAAGCGTGTTGAAAAGAACTGCTTTAAATGCAAATGAAGCGAATGTATCGGGAGCAATAATGCACCACATATGCAGACCTTGAAGGCCTCGCAGTTTCATACAAATTTTCATAAGATGCAGATGAAAAACGGTTCAGAAAGGACATGATTAGCGCAAAGGTCACACGATTGAAGTCTTTCATGGATAGATGTGGTGGGAGGTCAATAGAGACCGTTACTCTCCTCAGTATTTTTCCTTTTTTTTTTTTTTATCTCTGTGCATTGAAAAGAGATTTTCATAATTTCTACATTATTTACCATTCTCTTCGCAGAGTTAACTATTTCTTTAATCAAGCACAATACAAAGCAATACGCATTGTTTTGCTGCACCTTTTAGCTGTATGCGTCAAATGTTAGACCTGTGTCAGCTCTGGAGATTGTGGGCCGCTATCATGATTAACATCCTGTTTAGCCAGCTCTCTTTAAGTCCTGTGCATGCATTTTTCACCTTCTCACATGTACTGAGACTTCATTTAGTCAATTATTCATCAAGACAGCCGCTATTCTCGGACATACGGTTATCCTGGAAGAAAGCTACTATGTACAGAGCAATAAAAATGTCTCTTCCATGTGGTGCTCACGAAATTCATTGCATTATTTTTAAGTCTTTTGTTAGTTTGGAACAGAATTAGATTGCATTGCTCTTTGCTGCAATTTGGCAACAATACTATGCTTTTATGGAAAAGAATATAAGTTATTTTGTGTTTCACAAAAGTAACAGCATACAGGTTTGGAACAAAATGAGGGTGAGAAATCTTACATTTTGGAGAGAACTATTCCTTTAATCAAAATCAGGAAACAGGCAATCAACCCATACACCCTAGGAAACACATCTACAAGAAACAAGCACCCAAGAATGCATTCAAATAGCCGAGTTATTTGAGCAGAAATCTGCACTTCCCAGCTGATAGGCACCATCCAGACATGGAAATGGTTACCTAGCGGGAGCAACTCAAAGAACTATATGTCAGAGATTTGCCTCTTTCATTGCCGCTTGCAGACATTCAGATAACGCTCTCGATAAGCGAGCGAAACGTGGCACAACGTGCCAGAAAAGTGAGTCTTCTTCCAGCTCTACAAGTGCTCAGTCTCCTAGCGTCAACTTCATTATCTCTCGTGCAACAGGCGGTCACACTTATTCTAATGTATGCTAACGCTAAGAGCTGACACGGCCCGATAATGACGCTTTCACCGGATTTTGTCACTTCCTCGAACCTGCAGCCGGGGTTCAATGTGCTTAACTGATCCAGATAGAAAATAATTAAAGTCACTCATTCATAATGTCTCACCAAATGGAAAAGCAAATTTGGTTACGCTTTCCGCTTGTGCCAAAAAGGAACCAGCGAGTTGGATGGAAAACAATAACCGGTTACATGTGAATTTGAGCTTGTCATTGTGCTCGGTATTCATACACGGGGGTCACGGCTGATCTGTCACCGGTGAGCGACAGGAGAAGACGGGAAAGGTGGGCGGATTGTGGGGTATGAGAGACAGGAACAGAGTAGCAAATGGAACAGACAGCTTGAAAAACCTTTTGCTCTCGCGTTCTTCCTACGATTGAAAAAAATCACCGGGGAAAAGCGTGTAAGATCAGGGCCCGTCTCACCCACACAGAGCTCCGTGTTCTCTCAGCACAGTGTGATGGCACAATCAAACCCTTTCACTGTCTCCCCCAGAGATAAAAATCACTGATTTCACCACACTGTCAGGTGCCCTTTTTTACAGAAGCGAGGCCCACAGATTGCTTTTAATGATTTAATTATTACACAAGGAATCTGTCTTTTCCTTTATCTGATCGCTGTATTTTTCGGCACGCACTTGTCAGTGTGCTTTCCTTCCCTTAAGAAGTCTAGCATCCCATGGACAGCAATTAATCGATTTTCAGGATGTTGTGTCGAGCCGTTGAAGATCAGCATCGTCCCTGGCAAGTCTGTCCACTAATTTGAGAATCGTGAGCACATATTCTCATCTCGCCACTGCACTCACAAAATCTAATTTTAAAATATATCTATTTGAATTGCATGTTTAAATAATGGAAGGAAAAGAAAGTAGTGTACCATCAGAATGATTTTAAACTGATATTTCAAAATATCAAAAAACTTACAGTTGCTTTATTGTAATGAATTTTTTGTCAATCATACATAAATATAGCATATAAGATTGCATAGTTTATTATTACCTATTTGCGTCTATTTGATTTTATTTAGCTAATCATATTTCAAAATTCAGTTTATTAAAATAGCTTCGAATCAGCATAAATCATTGTGATAACCACGAAATTTATTCAGGTAAAAATTATGAAAATGCAATATTCAGTTAGTTAAAATGTGTGAGATTAAAAGAAATTGGATTTATTGATGATAAGTATATTAACCTGGTTTTTGTGTATTTAAAACATACTCAGTTTATTAGTACTACTACAGAAATCTTTCCTTTCTTACCGATTTCATTTATGTATGACTGACAAATATACATCACATGAATTTTATTATTTTTTTATGTTACACAAACTATATACATACAGTGGAGATCAAAATTAGAGAACAATCTATAAATACTTATGCTCGGACACCAAACTCCTAACTTTCTCTGGGACTAGGAGAAATCTTCAGTCCCAGAGGACACACGGTCACCCTCCAACACTCTTAAGACTTATCTCAAAACATTTGAATTCCCTGAGTTAAACCCAATAAAATCCTTCTAGGTAACATGTCCTTTTCACCTGCATTTTTGTGTCTGTGCCTCTTCCTCCCATCAGCACAAAGTGTTAAGCACTCGCACATATAGTATTCAAGATGTGCAGTGCTAGGTTTGAATAACAAATCGTGAATAATACCATGCCATCTCATACTGGATGTCTCAGAACCGAATTTGTGTTGCAACAAGTTTAAATGTTTTTAGGTGCAAATTAGGGGAAGTATCAATGAATAGCAACTTCATTCCAATGAAGAAAGAATGTTATAAAATTTTGGGTGAGTAAAGTAATCACACAATTTTCATTTTGGGGTCAATTTGGACAAAAACAATGTAGAATAAATACTGAACATAATATTTATTTCTATTGACCACTCAAATCTATGCATGAAAAACTGTAATCATGGGCACATGTTCTCTCTGGCCTTATTTTTTATCTGTGTCTTATTTTTCATTTTTTGGGGGTGAACCATTCCTTTAATTAACCAACACATAATTCTGAATATTTGTTAATGGATTTGGATTAAGGTTGTATGTATTTTTCCTCCCACAGTATCACTCTTCCTGGTTTGGTTGGGGTAGGCTGACAGTATTGAAAGTATTTTATCCTGAGCTCATTCTTCTATAAATGCCATTTCTTGAATAGCTGAATTTTCCCCAGCATATTAAGTTCCCCATATATATGGCAGAGAACTTTATAATGCAATTTACAACTCTGAAAGCTGAAATTTTGTTAGGACTTTTCGGATTATAGTCATGTTGCAGGTGGGCGATGGAAATGACATAAGCAGCCAATCAGAGAGCAGCATGTCAGTCCAGATCTTGTCTGATTGGCCGAGTGGGAGCAGAAGACCAGAGGCAGGATGCAAATAAATCATAAGCTCATGAATATTAATTATGTTATGCTGATGTTGTTCTGCAACACTTCTTCAGTGTCTAATCACATTACAACATTAATATTAATGAGCCCTGCTTTAACCTTAGGAGAGTTCACAGGTAGGATGATCTCAAAGGAGTTTCTAAGTCAACACACAACAAAGCATCTGTATTTGAAAGCTGATATAAACAGCACTGAAAGGTTTCGATGCACAATTTCCCTCGAGATAAACCATCAGATTCAGGTATGTGACCCCCATCTCACCCCTGCCTTTTTAATTCATGTGTATATATATATATTTCTGACAGTAAAGGAGTGAAGTGGGAGCTTGTGAAAGCATTAATGGTTACTTAAAACAAGAAAAGATAGCATGAGGATTTGACTCAGCACATGTGGACTAATTTCTCCCTATTTCCTTTTCCTTATGCAAATGGATGTGGAATGAATGAGCTTGGCCTACAGTGTGAATTGAAACCAGACTGGCTGCTTCTCATTAAGATAACAGATAGCGTGACTCTTTCTGTGCCGCGCTGAACTTGTTTTATAGGATTTTCTTACAGGAGAGCCACAGTAGGCTGTTAAGTGATGCTGTTCCACATATGTCTCTCCGGGGGACACTGCTGTAGAACGGCTCGGAGCTCAGAGACGTGAAGATACCGGTGTGAGAGATGAGGAGAAGTGCATATAGCTCACATTATTAAGTATGCCATTAAGCAAAACCATCCTCTTTGATTGCCACTGTGGGTTTTCAGATTGCTAACAACCACCCCACTGCCCTGTTGAAAAAACCAGCATATGCTGGTTAGGTATGTTTTGACGCTGGGATGCTGGTTTAAGCTGGTCGTTTGCTGGTTTATGCTGGTCCTTTGCCAG